CCCACAAAAGGGAAAAGTAAGGGCTCAGATGTCATCTTTTAGTGCCTTGGACAGTGTGACCTCCCTGTAAACAGGGATCTGGTCTCTCCATTTAAGTTGAGTTCCTTTTACTGGGCTGATGACAATGATTGTCCTTTAAGGAGGTGAATTTAGCTCAGGTGCCTGTGACTCACAGGAAGTACAGCATCCCTTAGTACTTGGGCATTGTGGCCACCCTGTATAGAGGGTTCAGGTTCTGCCTTTTGTTCTTTTGCCACCATGCTACTTCAGCCATTTGGTTTGAGTCCTGACCCTGTAATTAAGGGATTGTTTGTGTCCTTCTGCCTTCTGGGGGATATTGAGCTCTGTGGACCCCTGAGCAGTGTGACCGCCCTGTAACTAGGGTCCCGGTCTTTGCCACTTGCTTTTTTGGCATTAGGCCATGCTTGGCTCACTAGTCAGCATGACAGCCCTGTAATTAGGGTGCATGTCACAAGTAACTATAGAATAGGACATATTGAGTCCTTTGGTACTTTGAGGAGCTCGACCTTCCTGTAATTCAGGTTACGGTCCCTGCTATTTGGCTAATCCCAGCGACCACCCTGTAATCAGGGTACAGGTGGCATCTCTCTTTTGAAATCTTTGGAATTGGAACCATTTCAGTAACATGGGCAGTTTGAACTCCCTGTAACTAGGGTTTGGTCTCCGAGGCCCTTTGGTCTCTTGGCATTGTGCTTTCTTCACAGCCTGAGGCGAGTGACCGCCCTGTAATCAGGCAATCTGTTCTTGGCCCTCTGGTCTCTTCGCACTAGGTCAAGTGCAGCCCACTGATCTGAATGAGCACCCTGTAAACAGGGTACAGGTCTCATCAGACACTATTTATGGTGCCCCCATGAGACTGTGTCCAGAGTCCTGGCCCTTCACACTGCGCTTCCAACTTGCCTGGAATTGTGCAGCCAAGTCTCCTGCTTTCTGCTCCGCTTACTGTGCTTTTGGAGACCCGACATCCTGCTGCTGTTGCTGGTAAACTCAGAAAGGGAGGGTCCCGTGGACTAAGTTTTGGACTAAGTCAATCCAGGCAGTATGCCTTGTGACATTGATTTTGGAATACTTGTCCATTAATTCCATACTGCCCTTACTCATCTAATTCCTCTTGATTTAGTATGGAGCCCGCCTGGTGTAATAGTTGTCAAGGGGAAATCTGGAGATTGTGCCTCTGAAGTAGGATACGTTTGGTATTTTTGTCACCCGGTGGGGCTTGGGAGAAGGGGAAAGCCCTTATGGAATTGTCTGAGCACCGCATAGAACTGTCTTGGAGCTAAATATCCAGGCTGTCTCCGACCTGGAAAAGAACACTGTATCACTAGTTTACGCTCAGTTTGTGTCAGGGATACCGAGTTTTCGTAAGGGCTTCTGATTTACACACCTGTTTGCTCCCTCTCTCTGCTTCAGGCAGCTCCGAGCACAAGTGGACAAGAAGGAAGTGTCAGAAACGTCAAGCAAAGAAGAGTAACGAGGACAAGTCACTGAAGATGGAGGAGAAGGAAAGGGACTCTGGGCACTGTAACCTCCCTGTATCAAGCCTCAGGTCATGTAATTACACTGTATGGGGATCTCGAGCCTTTTAATACCTTGAGCAGCGTGACCGCCCTGTAATCAGGATCCAGGTCTGTGCTGTTTTGTCCTTTCAACATTATGCTCCATTAGCTGGCTAGTGAGAGTGACTGCCCTGTAATCAGGGTGCAAGTCACCCCCTCCCCTCGCTTTCAAGGGAATTGAGCTCTTTGGTAACTTGAGCAATGTGACCGCCCTGTAACTAGGGTCCAGGTCTTTGCCCGCTTGCTCGTTTGGCATTACGCCGTACACTGGCCGACTACTCAGTGTGACCGCCCTGTAATTAGGGAGCAGGTCACAAATATCTATAGAATGGGACATATTGAGTCCTTTGGTACTTTGAGGAGCTCGACCTTCCTGTAATTCAGGTTACGGTCTCTGCTATTTTGCTAATTCCAGCGACCACTCTGTAATCAGGGCACAGGTGGCATCTCTCTTTTGAATTCTTCGGAATTGGAACCATTTCAGTAACATGGGCAGCTTGAACTCCCTGTAACTAGGGTTTGGTCTCCAAGGCCCTTTGGGTCTCTTGGCATTGTGCTTTCTTCACAGCCTGAGGCGAGTGACCGCCCTGTAATCAGGGATCTGGTCTTTGCCCTCTATTCTCTTGGCACTAGGTCAAGTGCAGCCCACTGATCTGAATGAGCACCCTGTAAACAGGGTACAGGTCTCATCAGACACTATTTATGGTGCCCCCATGAGACAGTGTCCAGAGTCCTGGCCCTTTGCACTGCGCTTCCATCTTGCCTGGAATTGTGCAGCCAAGTCTCCTGCTTTCTGCTCCGCTTACTGTGCTCTTCGATACCCGACATCCTGCTGCTTTTGCTGGTAAGTTCAGAAAGGGAGGGTTCTCTGGCAGTTTTCTAGTAAGTGAGATTGTACTGTTTTCCTGTTTCTATTAGTTCTGGTATCTATGTTTGTTAATTTCATGCTTCTCTTGATCTTCAAATTCCTCCTGATTTTGTATGAAGATTTTTTAATTGCTTAGTGTAATAAATGTCAATGGGAAATTTGAATACTTTGGCTTTGAAATAGGGTTGATTAGGTAACATTCCTGTGCCTTTTTTCTGTCCGTGTATGATGCTAATTTAGTGAATCAGGTAGAGTTACTTTTCTTAAAATACATTGATAATCGCTTTTAATTATTCCCCTTTTAGTTTTGAGGCATTGTTTTCAGGAAATGTAGTTTGTTTTTCATTTGTAGTTCTATAGGTATGTCTACTTGGTTTGTGCATTCTAGAGCTTGAAATGGATACCTGTAATTTGAACATCAGTCTTCTTTTTCAGTGACTGAATCTGTTCTTTATCCTTTTGTCCACTTCTTTTTTAAATTTATTTTGTTCTGTTTTTAAACATGCAAAATATTTCTGTTGTGTTTATCTAGAATATCAAATAGCATTGCAAGTCTGCTGTAACTGTCTTGCACACTCTTTACATCCTTTAAAGGAGAATGGGACAAAACCGAAAAACGAGAAAAGAGACGCTAATAGCCTGTGAAGAAGAAGAAAGGAAACAAATTCTGAGAGCAAAGTACAGTTGTGTGATCTATTTCAAAGGTAAATCATACTATAAATTCACATAATGAATATAAATTCATCTATTTTAATGCATTACTTAATTTCCTTAAGCAATATTAAATATTTCTTGTGTAACGTAATTAACATGGCATTAAAGTAATATTTTTGTGTTTTCTTCAGGGTTTATACCACGTCCAGCACCATGGTATATGAGTGCATTGGAAAGATAAATTGAACAAAGTGACTAGCATCTGTCACCTTTCAAATGCTGATTAATGTTAATAGACAATATATAACAAACTCTGAAGCTCAATTACTTGTGGCACCACAGCACAGCCTGAAGACTGGATAACAGTTTCCTGCTACGATCTTTCAGTTCTGTAATTAGCTGTGCCACATGAGAACTGATATATCATCTTATTTTATAATCATGTATGTCCTCTCTAATTGTCTTTTACTAATGAGTCCATAAAGCATGCTTTGTGCATCACACTTTCACATTCTAGTAGAAAAGTGGGATGTATTTTTAATTTAATTAATTAACTTTAATCTTTATGATTCTTTGACAAGTCATTTTCATGTCATTGCTTGGTGATTTGGACTTCTGTTTAGCAAGAAGTCAGTTTTATTTCCTTAAAGTCTCTGTAAGCTACAACAAGTTGTTCAAAGCTAAAAAAACGATTTGAAAAAGATGGAAGAAAACTGAGATGTAGGGTAGCCACCCTGAAGAGTGTTGGAAAACCTTTTTCAGTAGGCACACTATTGACCTTTCTCTCAGCTCATTTTTATACCAAAATAGTACCATAGCAATGATCCCATGTGAAATTATACTAAGTTTCTACCTATCGCCAATTAGAAATTGTCAATATAACTGGTTATTTGCATCTAAATGTTGATTTCATGTAGCTATGTAACCAAGTATTTTAAAAGTATTTTACCAAGTTGACTACCTGATTTTATGTAAAAGAGTTACACATATCTTAGAAAACATGTTCCTTTGACTTAATTGTGGGCAACTAATGCTTTATGTACTTTTGTTTTTACTAACAGGTTTGTCAGTAGACATAAAGGAAAAATTGTGACTCTGTAATACAGAGACCTTAAACAAACAAGCACTACTATTATTAAAAATAAATCATAATTTCCTACTGGAAGTGCAAAGATGTAACTGAAGGGAAGGCATGTGTTTGTATTCTCCACTCACCTCAAGCCGCCCCCCAAAAAAACTCTTCAAAAAAGTTAATGTCGAAAAGATTACAGTTTACTCCAGATACCGTCTAACTTAATATTTTTAAAGCTCTGTATCACACACACATTGCTAAAAAGTAAACAAAACTAAAAGTTGTTCTGGAAACTGGCAGTTACTCTCCCCACTTCACAACTTTCAAACACCTACTCTACTTCAACAGTCACACCAACCAAACTGTACCACACATTCAATTTTAACTTTGCACCTATTGTGTCAGAAGAGCTAGAGTATTTTTTGGTAGTTGTGTATATTGATGTATATGGTAATAGTGGTATTTTAATAGGTTTTTATGCTTATTGAATTAAGTGGACGCTCAAGGATGATGATGTGGATGTTTTAGGTAGGCATTTTTCTGTGAAGTGTTAGTATTTTTGTAGAGGTGCGGTATTTTGTGATGATGACTGTTTTTCAGGTAATGGTTTACAGTGAATTGTTGAAAATTGTAGATGTTTTTGTATATGTACATTATTAGATGTACTTAGAGTGCAAAGTTGAGGTTGCCTGTTTGGTGCAATTTTATTGGTGTGAAAGTTAATTTAGGATAGGTGTTTGAAAGCACTGAGGTTTGAATTTTAAGCTCATCAGGGATCCAGGATCTACCTGGCTACCTCAGTTCTTACTGTCATTACTAATTCCAAAATCTGGGATGAAGGTGACCCAGCAGAATAAAGATATCTCCAGAGACTTTCAGAAGTTAGCATTTCTGCAGCTGTAGGGGATCCCTTAAACCTTATTGAACTATTTGAAATGTAATAACTGGAAAACTTTTGACTTCTATTTCTGCCAGTTAAGTGTTGAACAATGACCTCTATTAAAAGATTTATACTGTTAGTTAATTCTGTTCTGTACTAAGATCTTGCTAATATCGCCATTTTATGTGTGAAATGAATTAACTAGATTTGATTATACCTACTTGATAAATATTGGAATATTCCATGTTAAATTCATAGATTTAACTTTGATTGTCATATCAACTTACTTTGCTATCTATAACTCCTTGTTTATTAATATATTTATTAATAGTTATGACATTAAATTAATAACATGTATAAATTCAGGTATGGTCTTAGTTCTGTCTTTGGCTAAATAAAAAGGAATCTCATAAACTTGTGAAGAATTTTGGTATAATTAATTTTAATTTAATTATTATCTGTTTTTACCTTTTTGGTGTGGTCGTTGGTCGTTGGAAGTAACTATCCTGTAATAGTGCAAGTTTCATTTTTCTCTTGCATCACACATTTTTGGGCAGACCTTAAAGTTGCCCTCCTTGAGCTTCCAATGCACACAAGAATGGGACTTTGTTTGGTTCCTTCACTGCTGACAAGCTTGTAGATTGCTTGAGATCTGCAGGCCCTGCACGTCTTGAGCACAATATATGAGACCACTGTTTCTATGATAAGATTGGCCTAAAATTGGCAAGGTCTTCTGGTTTCTGCAGCATTCCAATTCAGAATTTTTTAAAAAGTGGATTTTGAATCAAATATGAAAATTAATATTACATTAATCTCTTTTCAGAAATTAACTTTTGCAGTGTATTAATTTTTTAATATGCTTCTACATGTGAGGTAGCGTGGTCTAGTGGTTTAGAGTACTGGACTGGGATTCAGGAGATCTGATTTGTATTCCTGGCTCTGCTCATGGTCCCAGTTGGAAACAGGGCGCTGGACCAGATGGACCATTGATTTGATTCAGTATGACAAATCCTATGTTATTCTATTGTGTTTAGTCATTGTACAAATGTCCTTCAGTAAGGAGCCCACAAGAACCTTTATTCAGAATGGGAGATGGAGGCTTACGGCCTTGTGAAAATGGAACTATATTCCAGGAAGTCCTCAGCCATCCTTCTGTGGGCGACTCTCTGTCTCTCTAACAGGTGCCCCTCCTTTCCTCACCTTCACACTTACCTGCATGATCCCTGAAGCTCCATATCTTTTTTTTTTAGGGTTCATCCTCTGTTTCTGAGTGGAGTCCAGGGCATCTGAGACCCACTTGATTTTGTAGTAGGTAGCAGCCCCAAAGACCATCAGGCAGAGGGCAAGACCCAGCACCTCGTTCGGCATCAGAGTCCAGGTTAGGAGATCTTTGGAGATCTCCCCAAACAATATCTCTATGTGCTGCTGGCTCCGAAGTTGGGAGCTAAGCCTGCCACAAAGAGGAAAGACAAAGACAGCAGTCAGTGTGAGAATGCTGCAGCCCGTGTACCTGCAAGTGGCATTCTCATTAATGATGACAAATCTCAAATGAGGCTGCCCAATTCACACTCCATATCCTCAAGATCTCTAGATATGTAAAACAGATGTAGCCATAATAAAATGGTACATTCTTTAAAAATGCCAGTAGCATAGATGAAAAAGCATATGTTTAAGGATCTGAATATTTTATGCAAAGACATTCCATTGATACTCTCAGGAAGGCTTGGGGTTTTTGTAAAGGTTTATCAAAATCTAATATTAGTAACAATTGTACTGATGTTTACAGTGCCTATTATCATGGCACATCAAAATACATTAGTTAAAAAGCATACCCGTGAAATCAGATACTCTCAAATCATGGTGTGACAATGCGGTTCTGGGGGAACCC